AGTGCCTGACAGTTACATGCTCAATAAATTTCTGATCAACCAAATCGAATTACTTTCCATCCCTTACTGAGAATTTAACTTGATAAATTTCTTCTCAGGTTTTCTAAAATTGATGGAATCTTACTCAGATGCCATGTATTGGATAAACTAAATAAGTCCTAAAAGGTCCTACCCAGGACCTATACATTAATACCAAAAAGATGATAAATAATCCAGGGTTGAGAGGAGAAACTAAGGAAGCAGAGGTGAAATAAGATTAGCCACATGTTGATAACTGCTGAAGCTGGGTACACAGAAGTTCATTATACTCTACTTTTGTATATGCCTAATAATTTCCATAATAAACTGCTAAAATTAAAAACAATAAAACACCATTTTCAACTACCAATGTAGTAACTGACTGAGGAGAAAACCAGTGTGTGAAAAGATGTTGGGGAAAAGAATATTTAGTCTTAAAGTTCACCAGCAGATTCCACACCAAGTACAAAAACAGAAAAGTATCTTTACAATGAAGAGTAGCAGGAAGATACCACCTTAACGCAGTGATCAATTTAGATCACCAACAGAGTCAAAGCAACATTATGAGCCCCTAATGTGATATAGTGGGAAATATGTATCACCACCTATGTAATAATTCTATCAAAAAAATACTAATATGGATACACTCATGAGGAAAAAGATTATGGGACAAACTACAAGAAAATTAGCCCCAGACTCTAAAGACCAAAAACAAAGGAGAGAGGAAATATTCTAAATTAAAGGAGACTACAGGTAGATATAAGGATCTTTTCTGGACGATGAGAGAAATTGGTATATGAACTGTACATAAGATAATTCTATTACACAAAAGGGTAAGTTTCTTGGGCATGATATTGGTAGTGTGGTTATGTAGGAAAATTTCCTTATTCTTAGGAGTTACATCTTAGGAGATTCTTGAAGTGTCAAAATGCCCGCAACTTATGTTCTAACGGTTTTGTCTAAAAAAGTATATAGATATTTCATAAGAAAGAAAAGGCAAATGTAGCAAAACATTAATAATTAGTGAATCTAAGTACAGGCATATAGAAATTAATTGTTCTATTCTTTTAAAATTTTCTATATGTTGGAATGGCGGTAGGGGAGACAAAAAGAATGAAAGACAACTTATCTCCATAAATATGGCTGGCTCCTTCAAACTAGAAACTTTCAGGAATTTCAAATTGATAATGTCCATAGGTTCTTGAATGAAATGGAAATTGTGTTGGGTTTTAATTTCCCTTCTCAAAGAATCTGTTTGGCTTTTACTAAAATATTTTACCAGCTTTATTAAAAACATTTGCAGAGAAACTAAAACTTAGACAAACTAAGAGACTACACTGTAATTACAAAAATTAAGTTCATTTCACAAACACGAATATATCTTCTCTTACGGCAAAGATCTTACCCGTCTCCTGGGAATTGGACAGCGGATATCTGGTTGGTCACCAAAGTTCTTGTAGGTGATATAGTTTTCAGAACAGATGAGCACTCCACTTGGACCATCTGACCCTCCTGGAACTGTCAGAGGAAATAAAACTTACCAATAATTTGACATAACCATGAATTACGATTTAGCTTTCAATTCCTTCTCTCCTTCAGCACCACGGTGTGCCTGAAGCTGAGAAACATTCAAAGTGTTTCTTTTCCCTAACAATTATATTAGACAAGGATGGAGCACAGTTTGGGTGATCTCAGCCTGTCCAGATATCCGATACCGCATCTAAATTTTTAGCTTCGAGCCCAAAACTCAGTTCTCAGCTTCACACCTATAATCCAAAACTGCCTATTAGACACTCTCACATGAATATTCCACAGCAGCTTAAAAATACAATGTGTTCACAAACAACTTCAAGTTCCCTCCCAAACCTGTTCCACATCCTGGGTTCTCCACCTTAGAGAACACCACCATCAACTAATAGACAACATCGAAACCTGGGTGTCACCCTTCAATTCTCTCCTCTCCCAAAGCTCTATTAATTCTACTTCCTTAGCAGCTCTCTTGGTGCTAAACTCTCATGATGCTGCCAATCTCTCTTGGTTTAGTGAAACAGCTTCCTGACCAATGTCCTGGCTTATAGTCTTTTTATCCTCCATTCCACTAGCCAAAATGTAAGCAAGTAATCTTTCTAAAATGTTAATCTTCCACAGGTTATTATTCCCCCGCTTAAAATCCTTCAGTAGCTACCTCCTCACCACTACCTTTACCCTAGCCCTTCTGCTCTAACGATCCAATCACAATGAGCTTCCAGTTCTTTCAATGAACCACGTTCTTTCTGGCATTTGGGCCTTTGTGCATCCTGTTCCCTTTGCTCACAACAGAAACTCCTTCCTCCACCCCCGCTGTACCTAGCTAACTCCTAACTAGTCCTCAGGTCTCAGCCTAGAGAGCAATTCTCCAGAAAGCTTTCTCTAACACATTTCCTTCCTTTCCCTGGATTACGGACCCCTCTTGTGCACTGTCATGGCATATGGCACACACTGGCAATTTTTTTGTTACTTGCACACAATCACCACTAGACTCAACCCTGCATAAAAGGGAGACACCATTTTTAATTTTTCACTGCAGGACCAGGATCCAGTGGACTGACTTTGCACATACTGATTGTAGAGGCTCAATAAAAATTTGAACAAATGAAGCCCTCATAAATGAAAGGTGTAGTAGTATGTTACAGTAAGTAATGTGTAATCTATTTTCCAAGGTTCTTCTTCTTAATACACAAATAGTCTCTTCCTTAGATTTAATGCTCAAAGGCAAGTGCTGTCTTATATTATTCTTCTCCAAAATCCTACCCCAACAACAGACATATTTCATTTTAAACATCAATCCAAGTGCAAATGACTCAAAACAGAAAAGAATGGATCAGTCTTTCACAGGCCTGCTGAAATTTAGATGACCACAAATAGACCTGTCCTCCTCTAGTCTAAACTAGATAAACAGATACTGATTTTCTAACAGTGACTATCTTTGAGCTCCTACAGAAATCTTACTTAATTATGATGCACTTAAAATGCTGTTGAATTTGATTTGCTAAAAGTTTAGATTTTTTTATCTATGATCATAAGTATAACTAGCCTGTAAATATTTCCTGTTACTGTCCTTACAGTTTTGTTACTGAAGTTACATTAGGCTCATAAAGTAGCATAATAGCTTTTATTCTTTTTCTAATCTCTGGAGAAATGTAAGGTTCCTGAAAATTCTAGACCTTAAATCTTTTGGAGGAAAGAGATTTTTGACTACTTCTCCAATTTCTTTAGTGGATGCTGATCTATTCAGGTTCTTAATTTCTTCTTGGATCAACTTTGGTATTGACAAAATATCAAAATTTTATCAGTATTATAAACATTTTCAAAAATGTTTCTATTTCACTAAGTTTATAAATCCACGGACATACAATTTTATCTCGTTGTGTTTGTCCATTTCATTTGTCTTTTCAAAGGACTAGGTTTTGATTTTCTTAATGAGAGTGAAAGACTGACTACAGTCAAAACATCACAGCCATCAAGAATAATCAATATTCCAAGCTGACTGCTCTCCTTGTCCTTTCTTCCCTGTCCCCACTAGAGGATAAGAGTTAACCACTGCATGAACTTGTAACCTTAGCAAAACATGGACAAGGTATTCAGGTTTACTACAAACAGATTATAGTTTCCAAATTCTATTAAATAAATCCTCATAAAGCTAAGCATAAAATGGACCAAGCAAAAGGGTACAGAGCAGCTCTGAGAGAAAAGTACCTGTAATAAGGAAGTTGCCATGTTCCTCCAAAGGTTCACTGTATTTTCGGACCACATGATTTAAACCAAGGTCTAACTCATAGAAAGTAAGTGTCTGCTGGGTATTAGCCGCTGCTTCCCCTGTTGGATCATTGTCTGCTTCCTACAGAGGAGTACAGTGGCACAAGAACTAGTCAGTACCATAAAATAAAATTTTTGGAGCTGGAAAGGGCATCAGGGTTCCTCCATTTTACAAACACAGAAGAGGCCCACAGATGCCAAATGGTTTGCCAGAGTTCACACTACTAGGTAAAAGCAGAGCTGGAACAATAACCTGGGTCTCCTATTTCTAGGACCAGGATTCCCTCTAGTGGATACTGCCTTTCATTCAAGGGAAAGAATGGTAAGCCCCACCTTTCAAAACTTCCCTGTGAAAACAGACAGTTTCACCCCCCTTTTCAGGCAGCTTTTCCCAATAAATACCCTGTTTCCATAGGGAGATTGTTCAAATCAGAGCAAAGTGCTATTATATAGTCAGGTAAGCTCTGAAACATTCCAAAGTGTTTTAGTAAGGCATTTGGAATACGGAAAAGATTTGTTAGCATAAGAGATATAAGACGTGTGATGAAGATACAATCTCAGGAAAGCAGTGAGGACAGTGGAAGAAACTCAGAGGGGAGAGGAGGAGAGAAAGGGAATAGCGGGTGGGGAGGGAGAGTGACAGACAGACACATGGTGCCATTACCTCATAATCCATTTCCAGACAAGCAAACATTGGATTTTCAAATCCCACATCTACACCAACCACATGATATACTAAAGTGTTCGCTTTGTGAGCCTCCAGGGGAGATGAAATGGTAAGTCGGGCTGCAGCATCCCTGTTCAAGATATACACCAATTTCTGTTTCTCAATGGCACCTGTAGTTGAAGGAGACAAAACATACAACATTTCCAGATAGTGAAAAGAGGGGCTTACAGAACAACTAGCTAGATTCACATCATGATTATTTTTAAAAAGTCATTAACAGCCAGCACTAACTCTACAAGTGTATTAACTTAGGATTTTGCTATCACTAACATAGACAACAGCATCAAATATCCACCTCCTTCCTAATAGGGATCTTAACATCCCACTAACTCTTCAAAATTCTTTAAGGTGCCTTAGATTTAATGATATTGGAAAACTAACTAATTCATAAAATTGGTAGCTTTATTCTCTGAATTAGACTTAAGAATTTTGTGATTGCTCAGCAAGGTTTGCTCTCTGGAGGCCTGATCAGATACACAGATTTTCTTCAAGAGGTTTATCAGAGAAGAGACATGAACCTGAATCATCACTTCAGGCCAGTGAAAACAATCATAGCCACTGTCTAATAATGTAAAATCAATTCATTGTAGTCTTTTTGCTATAGATAAATAAGAAATGGAAAAACATCTATTTTCAACTAGACAGGCAGTAGAAAAGGTGTGCCAAGACTTTTCCCAGCGTTTTAAAAGGAAAAGCAACTTTAAACCATGGAGTCAACCCAAATATGATCTAAACTTTACCCAGTTAAGTGACTTATTGGCACCCTGCCAAGATCACAGCATTGTTCTCCTAAACTAAGCATCTCCAAGACTCAGATATGCACTTCTTAGAGCAAGTCACTCACTAATCATAACAGCTCGCCCTTTGGGATCCACAGCTAAGAACTGGCCAGGAACGATGCGGCGGCATCCACTCTTGCCAAAGGTTTCTTGGTGAATTTTCTCAAACATATTCTTAGACGGCTGGTATTCCAGGATAACAATCCGACCTGAGTCACTGCCAACCACAATGTAGTCTTTGGTGCCACCTGTCAGCCTAAAGGCCATGAGCGACCGGATAACACCAAATACTTCCACAGTTAGTAGAGTGTGTACTTTGCCCGTGTTGGGGTCAGGGCGAAGTAGCTCCAAGATCTTCCCACGGGAAACAACAATTTCCTGCTGTTTGGTTCCTACATGGCCAAAAAATAAAGATCATTAACAATCAGAAAGAGTCCAAAAAGTGACCTGAATGAATCAAAATGCCCCTAAAGATAAATATAACTAAATGTTTGGAGCTCAATATTTTAATTTATTCTATAAATTTACTTAAAAGGTAATTTACCTAGGATTGAAATAACCTAACTAAAGCGGTATCAAAGTGTTCAAAGAATGGTTACACAGTTATTTTTAAAAACTTTTTATTATTCTAAGATTTCCATCAATCTGCATAATTGGGAGCTGTCTACAAATAGTTTTAACATATAATGTTTAGCTTCATAAGATTAAAAATTTCCAAAGGCTCTTTCTAGCCCATCTTTAAGGCTATTGTTCTAAAAAATTATATTGTTTTTGTGCAGTTTGATGTAGTGTCTCAAAGAACTTTTAAAGCTGCCATCTAATACATACTTTATCTTTCTAAACTCACTCCTAAAAAGTTCACCTTTCAGAACTGCAATCAACACCTCCAAATGCATAGCAGCCAACTTGTCCCCATCTCTCCCTGCGTGCTACATAATTCCACCTGGATGAGTTGTCATCAACTTCCAACTAAATGTTTAAAATAACTAAGTTCCTCCTTCCCCAAACTTCCTCTCTGGTCCCAACTAACCTGCTATCAATGTTACTGTCATTTTCTCTGCCACCCAGACTAGAAACTCATATCCTTCTCTTTCTTTCTATCCCCACTGCCCTAGTACAGGTCTACACTATCTAATGCTTACATGGCTTCCTATCCTATCTGATATCCCACTCCTACCCATCTCTATCCATTATCATTTGTTCAATGCCACCATTTATCAGGCCACCTTACTTTCCAAAGGTCCTTTGGGGATCAGCTAAGATCAAGTACTTCAAAGAGTTTTGGAAACTGTAAAGCATTATATAAATTACAATGTTCTCTATGTTTAAAAAAAATTCCTTTCTGTAATTTTCTTTAGGAAAAAAGTTTGAATTTGAAAAAGGAATTTGAAGCATAAAACTAGTAATATTAAAAATGTTAAATTCAGAAAGATAGTTAATTGAGAACTTACCAGAGAAGTTGCCATGAATGGCAAAGCTGATGCCAGTGGCTCGTTGCAAGGTCAAGTTGTACAGGAACATGGTGGCAGCAACACTGAGCCACCCACAACTCCACAATCCAGGCCTTGGTTATACCAAGTCAAAGAAAGCTAAGAGCACATAAAATTAAAAAAAATATCAGCTGGGAAATTATTAATTTAACAGACATTTCCATATGGGAACTTCTGGCTGGAGACAGCAGAACCAGTAAAGGCCTACTGAAGAAAAACCTATTTTTAATTAGAGTGCCTTCTATATGCCAAGCACTATACTACATACTTCGCCTCTAATCTCGCAAGAAATCTATAAGAGTACTCAATATTATACTAACTTCATAGATGAGGAAATTGAGGCTAAAAAATTAAATCACCTGCCTGAGGTCACATAACAAGCTGTAAAAATGTTGGGAGCTGGGATCTGAACCATTAACGCAACACTATCTATTTGCCTTTACTGTCACAGAAACCAAGTAGGTCTACATTTACTTGTATCTGAATAGGGTACACATTCATGTGGTTCAGAATTCAAAAGCACAGCAAAAAGCTTCCTCCACCCATTCTGAGCCATCCAGTTCTCCCCTCTGAGGGAATCAATTTCACCAAGTTATATTGTGTCCTTCTAGATATTTTCTGTATGTACAAGCAATAATATACATTAACACTGTATTTTATTCCCTCTTTTTAATTGAAGGTTGGGGACTATATATTGTACACTCACAACACACTACAAATTACTATTTATTTATTTAATTTATTTTTTTAAGGAAGATCAGCCCTGAGCTAACATCTGCCACCAATCCTCCTCTTTTTGCTGAGGAAGACTCGCCCTGAGCTAACATCCGTACCAATCTTCCTCTACTTTACACGTGGGACACCTGCCACAGCATGGCCTGACAAGCGGTGTGTAGGTTCGCACCAGGGATCCAAACTGGCAAACCCTGGGCCACCAAAGCAGAACGTGCGAACTTAATCGCTGTGCCACCGACTAGCCCCAAAAATTACTATTTATTATTTTATCTGTCTTCAATATAGCAATAAACAAAAGGCTTTCTCATTTCTATTTTACAGCTGCAGAGTATTCCATTGACAGGGTATACTAAAATTCATTTAGCCTATACCCTACTGATGGACATTTAGGTTGTTCCCAGGCTTTTACTATTATGAACACTGCTGCAAATAACATCTCTCGTATGTACATCATTTATATGTGGATGAATCTATCTCTAAGATAAATTCCTAGAAGCGAAATTACTGGATTGAAGAATTTATACATATGAAATTTTGATATTGCCAGATCACCTTTCAAAAAGACTCTAATTTACACCTCCAACAATGTATGAGTCCCTATTCCTGGACAAACAGATCCCTGCTAATGTAACAGATAAAAATTAGTAACTTAAGTGTAGTTTTCATTTGCGTCTCTGTATAGCTCTATTATTTGAGGAGTAACTAGAATTTAAAATTTAAACCTACTCACCACCAAAAACTAAAACAAAACTGAATTCCTGCCACTTCTGCAAGAGGTCTCCCTAAGGGAGTATACAGTCACAGAAAATGATTCCTCTCATCAGACAGGACTGACGACTGCAAACTGACTGATGTACCGCTACCATAAAAAAATTACCCCAAACTACATCTATACACAGCTACTGCTGGAAAAATAGATTTTTCTTCAATTAAAGATGAAACCAAGGGATCTTGAGAAGTCCAAAGTAATCACTGTGTAATTAACATATGAATTTGGTTTTGTTAAGTGACAAAAGAGAATTATGAGTGAATGTCCTCATAATTAATAATAATTTGGGGGCTGGACAAAAGCAGGATAACTAAGAGAAGAAAAGATCAATCCTCCAGTCTGCAAAAGGGTCCTGAGAGAGATAAACTTTCTCACTTGAGACTAAGGAACATCTTTAATGTTCTTCTAGGATCATAGAGAAAAGAAGGAAAATGTCCCAGGTGGAACAAGAAGGGAGTAGGGAAATGACCTACAAGAATAAGAGAGGAAATACATGGACACACACACACCCAGAAAGGCTGAGACATTGGGAAAGTTGTGCTCAGCTTTCCCCCCAGAAAATAGGCAAAGAATATGTTGTAATTACTCTCAATTGAATAGTAGTAGTGAATGTGATTCTCAAACATGCTTAAGTCAATTTATTCTTCTGCATCTTGCTCTGGTTATAAAATTTCAAATATAATTTCAAAATCGCAGTTGAAATTTATAATGAAATCCCTATTATGCTGTCAACGTGATTCCTGTTGTAGAATTGACTATACTAAAGCTAAAGAATTGTTATTAAAAAAAGAGAGACAGACAGACAGACAGACGAAACCACTGGTCACTTTTGAAGCCCTGAAAAGCTCCCCCCAGGCTACTTTTCATTCTTTATAGCTGACCGAAGAAGTCAGCCTACTTTCCAGTTCCTTTATAACTGATGGCATCCGCTACAATCTGTGGAATTCATTTTCCTCAAAGCTGGTGGATCCACGTTCCCCAGCTATACTTTTATCTCGGGTAATGGAGGAAGTTGAATTACGGTAGAAGATCAGCCTAGAACAACAAGAACTATACACCAGGAACCATTAACACCAAAACTTGGGAAATTTTATGATTTCCTCCACGGTCTGTGATTACTAGAAAATGCGCCTGTGAATGCTTCCTCCATCCCCCTCTCCACGTGCCAAAGGAACATCATAGCGTTTAAACTCTGACAAGTCTTCAAGATAAAAATTACCGTCCCCTATTTTACAAGTGATTAAAAAAAAGGGGCGAGAGGGGAAAACAAGTTGCCCCAGTACCAAAACACAAATTCAAAACAGGGTCCTGACTCCTAAGACTGTTCCCGTTATTTACGCTTTTAACACGCTCGATCTTTGCACCTTCCCGTCGGTGTGTCGTTTACTCTCTCCAAAAGACGTCCTTCTCGCTCGTTCTCAGACCTCCCCCAGGCCTAAAAGCTAGGCAATCTCTAGAAGGCTTATTTTGAGCCACGTCTCGTTCCCATCTTGGGGACGGAAACCGGAGACCATGCCTGGGAGCCGTTCTCGCGCCCCAAGCGTTTCCCTCTAGCTCCTTCTCGTCCCTTGCCCGGACCTGTCGGGCCTACGCTGCCTCAGACACCCCAGCAGAGGCTCGGCCCACCCTCCTACATGGCCGCTCTCCACTCCCCAGACCGGGGAGGTCGGGAGGCTGCTTCTTTACCCTGCAGCCGGGAGGATGGCGTAGATATCCGATAGATGCTGAACTCCTTCGAGGCCTAAGCCACCGCCAACGCCAACCCG